GCAGAATCGCTTTCTCTGAAACGAAAGTGAGAACCTGTATTCTCCAATTTTATGGAGGACCAAATTCAAACTTACCAGGGTTTCTAAGAACAATTCTGGGCTGACCACTACTCGCCACTCCCACCCCACTGCACACTTCCCCCTTTGTAAACGGTAGTCTTTAATGCTGAGAGCTTCTTTATAAGTGATTATGCTGACGGGATGGGTGGAACAGCCCTCCAACTAATACTTCAAGACAAACAGCTTTTTATCTTTGATCCCCTCTGTGCCTTCTTCGTATATAGCCAAGACCACGTCTCTCCTCCAAAGGCCCAGTTTTGTATCACGGCACTTTCCCAGACTCGATTAACCAGGCTTTTGTCTCTTCTCCTTATATGACAGCTTCCCAATTTCTCCAATTTCAACAGCAGCCCATTTCTGCATACGGTAAATTGCCTCTTCCTGCCATTGAGCACAACAAACATATGGGTGCAAACAGCTTTTCTTCTGCTCTATTATGTTGTCAGCCAAGCTGAGTCAGTTTTATGACATCAGAATCATTTCCACAAAACACACTGAAGTTAAAACCACAGGCTCATTCTGATGGCTGTAATCACTAGCCATGGCAGCCAGAATTTTAAAAAAAGGTCTTTTAAAAATAATTGAGTAATGTACTCTTATATCTTTATAAAGACATTTTGGGATTTAGAAATATTTCTATAGTTATATCCCTTCCCTGGGACATCATTTAAAATTTTTTTCTGATATAGCTGTTTCTCAGCTAGTACATGAACCACACTGATAACGGAGCCTTTCTAAATTAGAAAGGAGGTCTTGCCAAGAAGTTTATATTACCTCTGTAATAGCAAAAGAATGGAATGGTCCAGGAAATAATGTAACAATCTCCATGAAACTATTCTGTAACAGGATCAAAAAAATAAAGCAACATATGCCCTCACAGACATTCAAGCTCCCTCCAAATAATCTTAACTTAATCCTCTGCTCCATCTACATGGGATCTAAACAAGTTCATGAAGAAGGCGGCAGCAATGAAGTCTGACGAGCTGCCTGAGATCACGTAGTCTTTTCCATTAATGAAGGTGCTCAAAGTGGCTGCCATTCACAGAGAGATAACATTTAAGGGTATTAACAAAAGAAAGGATTAAAATAATCAATATGAAGTGAAGATAGCAGAGAACAACTCCATTATATGATCTCAGTCTCTAAAGGCAAGAAATGCAGAATGGATTATGTAAATAAAACAGAGATCCAAAGATGGCAGGAAGATGGCCAGGGTGGTCCAATTCCAGTTTCACACAGGTCCTGCCTGCTCAGCCACAGATCCCTCTCCAATACTGGCTCAATGTGGAGGGCCCTGGAGACACGGGGACCCCAATAACCTGAGCTTGTTTTCCAGCAGGAAATACAGGCAGAGGAATTTATTTCCATGAGGCAAAACAAAGGCAGAAAACAGAGGCAATTAGAACCCAGGAATGTACGGGACTTGACCCCAGGCAGTGGGCCTGGTAGCAAACCTCCGATTCTACGCAGGGAGGGACTGGGCTAAGGCTGGAGAAGGGACTTCACCGAGGGCACAGACCAGATGGTGGAATCTCAGTCTGGATCCAGGGCTCTTGACTCCAAGTCCAAGGCTTTACCATACTGTCTCCAGCGCACAATGCGTGCGTGCGTGTATGTGCATGCAGGTGAGTGTGTCCCATCAGCTAGAGCCAGGACGCAAAGTGCACACACCCTAGAGCGGGAGATTCCACTTGTTTCCTTCTGGGTCCCACAGCACGTTCATACAAGTCAAGAATCACAGGCAGCAGCCACACTGCAAACAGCACTGGGCCTGGCCCCAGAAGGCTGAGGGAACTGACAGACCCCACCCAAACCCAACCACCACAGCCAAAGGAATTGCCTGACTGAGCCAAGAATTTCCCACTCAGTACCGAATGAAACACCAAAACAAGATTCAGGTCTAAACCTCACCTTGGTATTAGTACCACTTTGCATTTCTATAGCAGGATTATCTTTCTCTAAAAAGTAATATCTACTGGCTAGGCGCAGTGGCTCATGCCAGCGATCCTAGCACTCCTAGGATCACCTTGAGCTCCGGAGTTTGAGACCAGCCTGAGCAAGAGTGAGACCTCGTCTCTACTGAAAATAGAAAAAATTAGCCAGGTGTGGTGGTGGCGCCTGTAGTCCCAGCTACTCGGGAGGTTGAGGCAGGAGGATCACTTGAGCCTAGGAGTCCGAAGTTGCTGTAAGATAGGCTGATGCCACAGCACTCTAGGCTGGGCAACAGAGGAAGACTCTGTCTCAAAACATAAATAAAAAATAAAAAAAATTAATATCTATTTCATGGGCTTTCAATCTTTTAATAATTTGGCATAGTGGTCAGGACAGATGTCCTCATTTTACGAATGAGAAAATGAGACAGTCTGCTCTGTGTCCTGCTTCCTCGTGCCAGTCGTTCTTTCTAACCGATGCCTCTGCCTGCTGCCTTTTTGCCTGGTAGATACATCCTACTGGAGAATCCCTACGTAACACACTTCTATTGATGAAAACGGGGAGAAATATCCATTTTCAAGTTTCAGGAGGCAACATCACTGATGGTATACAGTCCGCAAATCCCCTACAGACTGTTGTCCTTTGAGCGAGTCCCACTGACAGGCTGGTCTCTACGCTTGCCACAAGTGTCCTCCTCCCTGTGTTTTGTTTTTTTTTTTTTTTGAGACAGAGTCTTGCTCTGTTGCCCGGGCTAGAGTGCCGTGGCTTCAGCCTAGCTCACAGCAACCTCAAACTCCTGGGCTCAAGAGATCCTTCTGCCTCAGTCTCCCTAGTAGCTGGGACTACAGGCATGCGCCACCATGCCCGGCTAATTTTTTTTCTATATATATATTTTTAGTTGTCCAGATCATTTCTTTCTATTTTTTAGTAGAGACGGGGTCTCGCTCTTGCTCAGGCTGGTCTCGAACTCCTGAGCTCAAACAATCCGCCTGCCTCGGCCTCCCAGAGTGCTAGGATTACAGGCATGAGCCACCGCGCCCGGCCTTTTTTTTTTTTTTTTTTTAAGAACAACTGATGACATGTCACTTGCTATAGTCTTAAAAGAGGAGATCACCTCTTCCTTCTTAGGATAAGGATGTTCCAAACTTTTCTGCTCATCTTGAAAAACAGACAAACAAAAAAACCCCTTGGAAATGGAATGAAAGATCCAGCTCGAATCCTCTCCTCAAAATGCCGCATGGCTAACATCTGATTACTCGATATTTCTGGTTAGAAAATGTTTTATTTATTTGGAAGCAGTTTATGGAAGTAGCAAACTACTGGAAATTTTAAAATAACTTGCATGCTCGTATGAAATGGTCACAGCTGTGCTCCCACATTCCACAGAAACATGGCCCACAAATATAATACATTCACACAGACCCCCAGTGAGCAACTGCCACACACACCCCGATGGCTGATGTGATCAGAGGACACAGGCTCAGGGTGACTGTGAGGTTCTCTTTCCCTTTCACTGCTCTGAATACAGCGAAACTCCAGCCAGAACAGCAAAACGCCAAAGGAACAGCCTGCTTCTGCCAGGCCTCGCCCTACCTTCCTATCCTCATCTCCACGTGCCAACACTGACCTTCCAAACCAGACCTGCCCAGTGCACTGCCCTGGGCACCCGGCCGGGAGATCTGGGCAGGAATCACAAGCACAGCTCAAGGCACCTCAGAGATTTTCAACCCTCCCAATTATCTCAAATTTTCTGACTCAGTTCATCCAATGTTTCGATTTTCTACCTCCATCTGACCAAAGGATCACTCTGCACTGCTGAAGTCAACACCTGTTGAAGCAGAGAGTGGGCAGACGGGAGCAGAGGTGTTGGCATTTTCAAACACAATTTGAAATGTCAGATTCATACAGATGGGCATGTTCTGAATACATGGTCCTTAAATGTTGTAGGGGTCTTTAAAAAAATCTGCTTTCTAGAATATATTTGTTCAGAGGTTTATCTTATCATGCTTCCCAGTTTAAGCCAGCATCTGTCCTTTTTCTTTAGAAGATTTAAAGAAAAAAATAAAGAAAAATAATGATGCTTATGACTTTACATGGCTGCCCCTCTCCTAACAATGCCACTGAGTTGACACAGATCATGGTGGCAGAGTGGGGATGGGGGGGTTGCCAGCTCCTTATTATGACAGACACAGGCTGTATGCCCAGCCATCCTGGCCACACTGATAGAACCTGGCCGCTGAGCCCTCTTATTAAACACAGTTGAACGGTACACTGGGTCACATTCAGGCACCCAGTACAACTGGCATTTCAGATTGACCAAGATACCCTATTGCCCCAGGGCTGGAAAACACGCTCAAAACAATCTCCCCAGAAAACTGAAGGAAGAAGATAGCATACATGGGACTGAGAAGTAACTCTGGCTCAGTGGTGTCACTGGGTTAAATGACTCAATCCCCAGGTCCACCTTATGGCTGTTGAAAGAGCCTGGTGCCTGGTGTTCATGGCACAGTTCCACGGGTGGTAAGAGCAAGGGGCTCTGTGTGACAATCTGGAAATGCTCCAAACGTTGCGTTATTTGGCTCTCCGTATTCTAACTAGAAAGCAGGGAATTCTGTTGCCTAAATGCTTAAGCAGTTGTCTTTTCCCTGACACTGTCCTCTAACTCATTTTCAGCATCAAGGATGTGGGCACCACCGTTGGAGGAAAAGGTCTTAGAGAACAAAGGGAAATCCTCTTGGCTTCTGGGCAAACCAGGGGATTGGTTTTGTCTTCTCTCAATATGGTTCCAAACACTTGTCTCGTGGTCACCAGCAGCAGCCTTGCTGACAGCTACCAGGGCCTAACTTTCTAGAAAGATACCATTGGAGGTAATACAGTATAAGCAAAATTTTGTCCCACTCAGCTTTGTATGTTATTACTTTAACCCACCAACGCCTAATTATTTTAGACTGGGCTTCTGGTGATGAAGGCTTTCAATGTGTCCTCATTAAACTTGGCCCCTGGCTTACCTTGGGATTGGTTCTCTGCTGCAGTCTCCTCTCTTCCCTCTCTCTCTGCAGCCGCTCAAACTCCTCTCGAATTTCAGCTGGGGTTCTTCTCCTTTCCACAACCTATCAGCAGAATCAAGACCAGAAGGCAAGTGAGGACCCACGAAGTGAGGGAAACATACCTTTAAGAAATCAATTCTGATGTGCAAATGCTGCCTGCAGTCCTGCTGTGCCCTCTCCCAGGACCCTAAGAACCATCAGGGGAACTGCAATGAGTTTTTCCATCAGACGGCCCCAGCCCTCAGTGAGGGGAGGGCTCTGCCACCCGCCTGGTCATTCCCAAGGAAGAGCTTTCCCCTGGCTCTCCAGAGTGACTTAAACATTCTGCTCTTTATTTGAGTAACTTATCTCTAAGGCTGCAGAAATCTTACAAAAAAACACTTCACCTTAAATCTCATAGCTAAGATTTCCTAATGAGTCACAGATAACAAACATTAAATATCAAAATGAAGGCACGCCAGCTCTCCCTAATGTGCTGGGGCAAGCACTAGAGATTCCTTCCGAGCTTCTGGGACCAAAGGATCTCTTCTTTCAGGTCTGGGGATTTTAGAACCACGGGACTCTTCCTCCTTCAATAGGATATGAACCCTAGAAGGTGGGATGCCAGTTATACACTAGAATAACAATACTGAGGCACCAAACAGCGGACCACAGTAAACTCAGGGATGCACGATGATGTCAAATCTGAGAAAATAAGGCATTCCAATTTAGCCTTCCTCAGCTCAGCATGAAAAGAAGACAATCTGGTTGAGATTTCAAAGAGGTGGAAAGAAACGTGAGAAAGGAATGGCTGCCTGGCCTTCCACCTGTGAAAGAGGAAACCGCACTACCCAATTTTTATGGGTCCTGTTGATGGCCACAAAATGTTATGCACCTGTGAGAAACAGAGCATGGAAGCGGGACAGAAAAAACAACCACTGTTTTTCTGTCTATCATAACCAAAGTCATCAGACGGAATAGAGGGCGGGGGAGGCACATTCCCTGTGTCAGTGGGAGAAATACACACAAGCCTTGAGATGCTGCTCAGAGATTATCTGAAAAGGGGGAATGTAAGAAAAAGCTATCTTGAAAATTCCAAGTTTTAAAAATTATTTAAAAAAATACATACTTACAGTAAAAAAATCAATAGCACAGAAGGATGTAAAGTAAAAAGTACAAGACTCCTCCTTTACCCACGTTCCCTCTTCTAATAGGTTAACATTTTTTGTCTTTTCTTAAAAATCTCCCATGCCATGTGTATGTATATGTTTGTATATACACATATATCTTCAAATAAAAATGAGATCACATTATAGGCTTTGTGCAACTTGATTTTATTTTTCAACAATACAGAAAAATAAATATAAAACTAGCCTATCCAAAAAAACCTGAGAAATTTGTTCACTACTTTCAGGAGGCAAATAGAAAAAAATAAGGTAAACATTTTGTCCTCTAATAAACCAATATAAATTAATAATTACTAAAAGGGGGGAGATGGTTCTTTTTAAGGAAGCCTTTAAATAGGGGGATTGTTAAAATCATCCAAGAACAAACTGTCCCAAATGGCATGGACAGTGATTGCTCTGTGACCTCACGAAAACATAATGCGTTCTTCCATTTAACAGATAAGGCAAGCTCACTCTGCCCAGGCTCAGAAATATCAAGGGCGTGTGTACCTATTCATGGTACTCTCACTTCCTAACACTATCCTTCTTGGCCTGGACAAAAACAAGGCCCAGTTTTTCAAAGGTTTCATCATCTTCTCAATCTATTATCAGCCTCTCCCTTCATCAAATGAAAACAAAAATAAAAGAGCTCTGGGAAAATACAGGTAATCAATCAATTATTCTATTTTACTTTAAAATCCAGAGAAAATGATTTAAAATACTTTAAAAATTGCGAAATCACAACTTATCTGGCCCCTGCCAATGGTGACCTAAGCAACCCATCATCAAGGACGAGGTCTGGGTGTGAGACTGTGAGTCTGACGGGAAGCGCTTCCTCAACAAGGCCCAGAGTAAAGAGGTAGTTTTAACCTGGATAAAAGATTTCATAATCCAGTATTCTCTTTAACGGGATGCTAGTTTTTTTTTTTTTAAACAGAGTCTTGCTTTGTTGCCTTGGCTAGAATGCCATGACGTCAGCCTAGCTCACAGCAACCTCAAACTCCTGGGCTCAAGCGATCCTTCTGCCTCAGCCTCCCGAGTAGCTGGGACTACAGGCATGCGCCACCATGCCCAGCTAATTTTTTCTATGTATTTTTAGTTGTCCAACTAATTTCTTTCTATTTTTAGTAGAGACGGGGTCTTGCTCTTGTTCAGGCTGGTCTCGAACTCCTGACCTTGAGTGATCCTCCCGCCTCGGCCTCTCTCCAGAGTGCTAGGATGACAGGCATGAGCCACCACACCCGGCCTGAATAGCTATAACTTTAACCAGTGATTTAAACAGACAATGAATATGCCCATATACTACTATTTTTTTCAGTAACAGATCTGTAAGATCCTTGGAATTAAAATCCTAGACTCAAACACTGCAGGAAATAAAAAAACTGGAAAGTGTCTGGCTCCAAAGAGGCTATAGCAGAAAAAAATTTGTTTTTAGGAATTCTAGCTGTTTAACCTTTGCAGACTGAATAATAGCTTCGAATTACTTCCTCTTTGCTACACTCTGTGATAGCTATAGAGGCAAATAACCAAAAGTGTCAGATCATTTCATTTCTAGACATATTTTACACAAGTTTTGCAAACAGTTGGTGCATAATAATCAGAGCTAACTGCAAAGTTAATTTGCTGGCTCCTCTAAAGCGGTAAAGACACTCAGCTGGGCAGGGCATTCTTGTTCTCAGCTCCCACAGGCCTCTGCCAGCCTTGATTATTTATATCTTTTTTTAAACAGAGTACCTGACACTGGGGAGTGGAACAGGATTAAACCAGTATGAGCTGCTCTTTTTCATTTCAGCAACCCTCAGATAGAAGCATCTGGGAACACAGCATCCCAAAGCTGCATTACAGTTGGTAAATACCAGACGTTTCCAATGTTTTTCATGAACAGAGTGTATCACATGCAGCTCGTGAATCTATATAACTTAATTGTTCACCTGGACAATACGCCAACTAGGTCTATCCCTGTGCCAGCCAGAAGACCGACTTTATCAAAGAGAGGATAAAGAGATCTCCAAAGGCTGGGTGGCATAATGGAAAGCAGACAGACACTTAGCCTCTCTGCCTCTGACATGACCACTAACCTGGGAGACACCTTGGGCAAGTCACTTCACCTCTCTAAGCTTCAGTTTTCCTGCTATAAAATGAGGATGGTTAAACTACACCATTCCCAAGGTGTTGTCCAGTTTGAAAATTCTACGATTCTAGCTAGTCAACTTTTTATTTTGGAATAATTTTAGAAAATTATTTAGAACTTTAGAAAAGCTGCAAAGATAGTACAGAAAGTTCTAGTATGCCCTACACCCACCTTCCCCTAATGTGAACATCTTCCATAACAATGAAACATTGGTCAAATCCAAGAAACCAGTATTAGTAGACTTCTATTAATTAAACCCAGACTTTTCAGATTTCACTAATGTTTCCACTAACATCTTTTTTCTGTTCCAGGTCCAATCCAAGATACCACACTGCCTTTAGTCATGTCTCCTTAGTCTCCTCTGCTCTGTGACAGTTCTAAATCTTTCCTAGTTTTTCATAATCTTGACCATATTATAGATTGTAACAGAGGTTGACTTTCTCAAATACTTTTAAGCCTGATGTCAAAGAGATAGGGAAAAATGAAATATGGACGATATAAAGGATTACAAACAAAACTAAACTGCGGAGGATCCAGGCCAACGCACGCAATTCTAAATGTACACTAATATCCGAAAGTGGTATCTGTAGGAGATCTGAGTTATGTGGTTTCCATCCCACTCGCCAGCCAATTACCAGACTCAGTACTGTCAAAGCATTCACAGTACAAAGCTGGATTTTCGCTATTCTCAGGCAAAGACCAATCTTGTTTTCAACGTGGGCATCCACGTGAATACCACTAACAAACTTCAAGAAACAAAATGGCTGGTGTTGTAAGTTGGGAATCATCTCATTCCTATGGAATCATGCCAGAGATAACAAAATCTGTCTCTTAAAGGCTAAAAAAAAAAAAAAAAAAGACAGAAAACTTACCCAGTGACTGAAAACAGGGCCATTATTTGAGTAATCTAAAGAAGCTGATTTCATCTCCAGTGTCCACCTATAAGATGGGGGTGACAGTATTGCTGGGGTGGGGAGTGATTTCTATGTCTGCAGAGGACTTTGAGATCTCTGGATTAAAGGCATCTCAGATACCCAGGTACTAACAATGCCCTTCACTCTTCACTGACTACCCATATGTTTAGGCTAATAAATATGTACTAAATGGATACCCTTCAGCAATTGAAAAGTTTAATAGTCTAAAAATAGTAGCAACAGCAGGAAGGGAACACAGCTTCCTCCCTGCAGTGAAAGCTGTTACTTCAGTGGGAGAATCTTCACCTCAAACAATCCAGCCAGCCGTAGGGATTCCTTGAAGGAATGTCGATGCCAGCTCCATAAAATGCGCTTGAGTTCAGCGAGACTTTCCTGCACAGTATGAATGATGGGCTCAACTTTCCTATTGTATGTTAAGCAGTAATACATCTCTGAGTAAGTATCTGGGGAGATACTTTCATTTAGTCCTCCTTGAAGGCATTTTTATCTTGCAATGAAAGCTCAGTATCAATATGAAAAAAAAAAGCCAATTCTGATTCATGAGAACCTATTTTCCTTAAAGTAGTTTACTAAAAAATACAAAGTTTATCCATTTACCACCTCCAACTGTCTATATATATATATTTTTTTGCTCCTATTTCCTGGTGATGAGCTATATATATATATATATATATATATATATATTTTTTTTTTTTTTTTTTTTTTTTTTTTTTGAGACAGAGTCTTGCTTTGTTGCCCGGGCTAGAGTGCCGTGGCTTCAGCCTAGCTCACAGCAACCTCAAACTCCTGGGCTCAACTGATCCTCCTGCGTCAGCCTCCCGAGTAGCTGGGACTACAGGCATGCACCATCATGCCTGGCTAATTTTTTCTATGTATTTTTAGTTGTCCAGCTAATTTCTTTCTATTTTTAGTAGAGACAGGGTCTTACTCTTGCTCAGGCTGGTCTTGAACTCCTGAGCTCAAACGATCTGCCTGCCTCGGCCTCCCAGAGTGCTAGGATTACAGACGTGAGCCACCACGCCCGGCCAATATTTTTATTTATTTAGCTTAAACTCAGTGGTAAGGAAAGATGCTTACATATTTTTTATAATCACTATTGTGTGTGTGGTTTGGCTTTGTTTCTAATGGGCAGGTGATCTGGTTTGGGGATAGGAAGACCCCACGGCCCCATTAGAGTTGGGGTGCTGCTGTTGGGAACTAACAACCCAGACTGCACTAGGAACATGTAATGCGGTCCTACAGCGTTTTAGCGACCCCAATAGCTGCCTTAAAAATCGTAACCAACCCACATCTTTAAAAAACAAGGAAGCTTTAAAGTGGTATATAAAGTATGTGGAGAAACTGAATTACTACAACAGGATCTATTTTCCTTTCTGGATGAGAAAATGTTAAGCTTTTAGACTTAGCATTTAGCTATAATGAACTAATTACGCTGTTCAGTGACAGGAGGCACTGCTACTTCCGCCAAGCCAGAGGCCACAGACCCACTGCCTACCGGAGCCAGGAGGGCGTGTGGATGAGTGAGGGCCAGCTGTGGACAACAGGGCGTGGTGGGGACTGGCCAGGCCAGCCCAGTCTAAAGGGCAGGGGCTCCTCAGATCCAGTGTTACCAGATCTTCCCATGTTTCAACTGGATTTTCATGCAAAACCTCCCAAGTTTTAAATGTCAGCAACTACAATCCATTGTGTGGGGCACTCAAAACATGGCTATAGGTAGAAAATGGCCCACAAGCCACCAATACAAAGCAGTGGAAAGGAGGAATCTAGCCCTGTTTTGCTTCTCTTCCACTCCTTATCTGAAGGCCTTTAGGAGGTTTTCATGCTAGAACTGGAAGAGTCAGGCACACATGTTTGAAATGAAACACCAAAAGAACTTCAAGAGAAATCTTAAAGGATGAAAATAGTAAAACTCAATGAGAGTCAATTCAATGTTATTAAGAGACAACCAAAACTTCTTGGGCATCAGAACCAAGTTTCTTTAATTCCTATATATTCCTGTAGCAATTTACAGTTTTAGAACTAATTTTCATATTCATTTTTCAGATCACAACATGGAGGCACCAGCAGCCCAATGACTTCCCCAAGGCTCTGCTGCTAGTCAGTGGCAGAGTGAAAGAAAACACAGTGTCTGAATTTTAGTGACTGTTCTTACACAGCATGGCTGTCCAAGGCAACCTATTTCATAGATACTTGCTATATATTTTGTTTCCCTCATTATATTTGACAACGTTCTAACATTATAATACCTTAGAACCAGAAAGGTCATTATAGACAATGTAACCTAGCAGCTCTCAACTTTTCTCTGCTTCCATTTTGTTCACATGCCTGACACATTCCCAGCAGCACATGTACAGAAGCATTTCCTGAACACAGCTATTCGTAATCCAGGTGGAGGGAGAGGCACAGCACTGTGGAGGGTGGAAGGGACGTGTGTGTGTGTAGGCAGAATTGGCCCCTTGAAGAAATCTCCCATCAACGCCCTGCCCCACCTACTCCCACCCATCCCTGGGTGAAAAATTACTAGTACAGTCCTTCCCTCTTCCTTTTCACTTGACAGATTAGGAAACTAGGGACAAGTCAGACAACTGACTTGCCCAGGTTCACAGAGTTCAAAGCGGCAAAGCCAAGTCTAGAACTCAACCTCTAAAACTATAATACAAAGCAAGGAAGGGGGACTCTAATGTCTTCAAATATTCTCAAAGACATTATCACAGATTGCAGGGTTTTGGGGGTTGTTTACTGACTTTTCTGGGACACCAGACGCACAGTTTCTCTTACCTCCCATCCTTCCATTTCCAGTCCTCTCTTCCCATATATATCATAGATGGCCCTGGTTTGGGGGTCACTAAGCACTGCAAATTAAAAACCAAACATGTTTACAAAGTACAAAATCCACCTTTCAGTCCTTTCTGAAAACACTGACAGCAGCGTCATTAGGTAAGTCCGTCTCTTGTTCTCTCCGTCCAATCACAATCTTCTTAGAGACCCTCTTCATTTCCTGTGTGTCTTTACTGCTAATTGCTTTTCTGATCCAGCCTAGGATGTTTAAAGGTGTTTAAAGGTGGCTACGAAGAAGAAAGGTCAGACTGTCCCAGTGTCTAAGCTACTTTTAACTGTAAGGTATGGGTATAAGGTATACAAGGTACACCAGGTAGGAAGCTTCACTGGCTCCTGTATCACTGAAGGACAGTTGAATTTATTAATAAAAGAATTTGTTAAGTTCCCACCACAGTGTATAAAAGCACACTGGCTGGAAAGAGTTGATTGCAGTTTCTAAAGAAGCTTCATGTAAAACTAGGGACAGGATCTGATGCTAGAAAGATATGATTTATTATTTACTCTACAGAGTTTTATTAATTCAAAAGACAATCTACATTCTTTTTGTACACCTCTCTTCTTTATTTGTAAATCATTTTTTTTCTTCTTTCTTTTCTTTTAGAGATGGGGTCTTGCTTTGTTGCCCAGGCTAGATTCAAACTCCTGGTCTCAAGTGATCCTCCTGCCTCAGCCTCCCAAGTACCTGGGATTATAGGCATAGGCCACCATGCCCAGCTGTTCGTAAATCATTTTAAAAGACAAACACCTCTCACAATGTTGTCAACCACGTCATAGAAAGTACACCAGAAAAAGATTTCTCAGTAAGGGTAAGAGCTTGAGGACACCCAAACTGCACTTGAACATCAGCAGTGAGGCTGAGGGTCGCTATCTTCCTCCTCTACTCTACCAACCTCTGTCGAGACCTTTGCATCTCTCCTCCCCTGAGAGTTCCCACACATTTTTAGGCCTAATTAAAAAATGATATAAATGATTCCATCCATGTTCAAATCTAATGGGGAAGAAAGAAATGCTGACCACTGGAAAAATGTGGGAGCCAGACTTCTGGAGTTAATCTCTAGGACTTAATAAAGGATTATTATTCACTATTTTATTTTAGTCTCCTTTTAGGCTAAACTTGAGGAGGCTGGGTCTGCTGTTGTAGCATTTTCACAAGCACTGGCAGGGTTTTTCTGTTAAATCCCCAAATCTCCAAAGTAATACAAGCAAGCTATGCGGATAATTTAGACAACAGGAAAATTAATGCAGCTGTTTAGTCGACAGAATACAATAAAAGGAACAGGCTTTTGGTGACGACACCATACAATTGGTTTGAACAGAGTTAAACTTGGTAACAACACAACACC